AATAAGTACATTGTACTTAATTTTTGATGTAAGTACATAGTAGTTAAGGCCACTTAATATAAAGTGGGGCCAGATATTCTTATGAAAATGTTGCCAAGTTATTACTCCCATTATTACACTTCTTTTTTTATGGTTTGCCCCAAGAACACATTAATATGCAAATTAGATGCAATGTCTAGATACATTGAATAAAATGGGAATACCAATTTATGGACATTTTACACACGTTTTGCATAGTGAAATAGTATATCAAATCATTCTGTTATATCTTTCATAACTGCTGAGAATCATCTTTGTACAAAGTTTGGTTAAAAATAGCCTGAAACCTAAAAATGTATTGGTGATTTAAAAAAAAATCTATTGCTTTTATATATATATATATATAATTTAGTCCTGGCGTCCTCTACAAAGGACATAGAATAAAATATTAATAAAATATTTTTTTTTTTCAACAATGTTTTTTCTACATTTGTATCTGAAGCTCCAACCAATGCAGCGACATAAACAACAACAAAATTCACAAAAAAAAAGATGGTTCTCAGGAGGATATAACGAAAGTAATTTTCTTTCCAAAAGGACACAAGTCACGATTTAATGCTGATATGATATTGCATTTTATAACAGAATATGAAAGCAAGAGTCATTTATTTTAAGAACGATAGCAAGGGACACGATATTTCATTATTATTATTTTTTATATAATTAAATATATTTACATAATTAATACAGCAAAAAATGCTGATGTTTAGGGTTAAAGTCCGAAACACGCTTTAGGACATTTAGACACCAAAAATAACACAATAAAGACATACATTCATAATCAAGCTGCATATGCATGAAATCTGAATGTAAATGGTTTGTAAACAGATCTGTCCAATACAGCTTTCGCTTCTTATTCTGCTAGCTCTTCGAGTCTTAATCTGACTAAATATAGTTTCAAGTGTTTATTTCTTTTACCTGTTGTAAAACGCGCTCTCTGTCTTCCCTTCGGGCCTCTTTTCTACATTTAATGCTGTTTGAGCTCTCAAAACTCAGGCCGTGCGCTGCCATGCTGCTGCCGCAAACCGCTCTCGCTGTCGTAAAACACCTCTGTCGCAGCAGCTGCTACTCGCCTGTTTCCCTCCAGAGGGCGCTGAACCCCATTAAAGCGCATTCGACTCGTTTTTGTCCTACTGGAGACATTTTTTACAGTGCAACCATATATTAATAATTTAAAAACAAAAATTGGGAAATATGTGAGCTCCATTCGTTCAGCAAAAAAACCCATGCGCAGCACGGTAGGTGTTTACGACAGTGATGAGCGCGTTTGAGGCAGCATAATTAAATTTTAATAGTAAAAACATTAAATACACAAAAACGGGAGGGAGAAAGAGACAAACACTACAAAAGGTAAACAAATAAACACTTTAAACTAACATCTGCTATGTATGTGTGTCTAAATGATAACATCTGAGCACTTACAATGTAACATTTGTCAGAATCAGCTGTTTAATCTGCATTAATTAAATATATATAGATGATGCAGTTTTATTTATTATGATTTATGTGGAACTATACTGTGTTCACTATACTGACATCATAAATGATGATGACTAGCAATGGTATCACTGGGATTTTGCATTTGTTATGTTATATTTGCATGCAATTGCACGTATATATGATGAATTATTTGGTTTTGAGTCAAAGTATGCTCTTGAATGCAAAGAAAAAGAGAAACTATGACAAAAATACAATGACTGTGTAATACAATTTTGGAAAATTAAACAGACAGGTGTATTAATTAGTATAAAAACAAATCCTAACTTACTATTTTTGACTTTAGGACAGATCTAGTCCTTTGGCCGGTCACAACTGAAGCTACTATTATATTCCCATCATCCTTCCACAAACTCCAAGAAACTCCAGGTGTAACAAGTGAAGTATATGTACTATGTATACTATGGTAAAGAAGACAGAGTTTGTTGAAGAGGAGTGATCCAGAACCATCCAGAATAAAACTTGAAGATACTGAGGAACAAACAGGTTGGTGTCCATTCTCGATTCTTCGTTATTGCTGAGGAACACTAAGCAAACAAAGCTTCAGTTGAAATTTGGTGGCTGTATTTAGAAAATCATATTCCCTGCTAAAAAAAAAAAATGTTCTAAGAAAGTTTTGCTAATGTTTCTATTAAGTTAAGAAAGCATTTGGAATGTCCCGTTTTTTGCTTTTTGATTATGCGAACATTAAGACAACATTCCATTTTAGAATTCTGGGAATGTTACTTTTAAATGTTCTCTGAATGTTCTGAAACAAGTGGTAACATTTAAAAAACTTTCCAGCTAAAATGTTTCAGAAATAAAATGTTCCATGAATGTTGTTTTTCTGCTAACATTATTGTGAGTAAATTACTTGCAGTGTTGGGGAGTAACTAGTTACATGTAACGGCGTTACGTAATTTAATTACAAAATAAATGTAACTGTAATCAGTTACAGTTACTAAGAAAAAATGTGTAATTAAATTACAGTTACTTATGAAAATGTTAACGATTACAAAGGGGGTTACATTTGAATATTTACAGGCGTCCACATTCGGATTTAATTGATTTCTTTCCCAAATTGCACTGACTAGTCTTGAGACATACAGGTGCATCTCAATAAATTAGAATGTGGTGGAAAAGTTCATTTATTTCAGTAATTCAACTCAAATTGTGACCAAAATCATCACAATTAAAAGAACCAAAGACTTAAACTACTTCAGTCTGTGTGCATTGAATTTATTTAATACTCGAGTTTCACAATTTGAGTTGAATTACTGAAATAAATGAACTTTTCCACCACATTCTAATTTATTGAGATGCACCTGTACAGCCGCGATGCGGAAAACACGGAGTGGTTTGTAGATTGAAAAGTTACACTACTTATTACATTTTAAATAGGGTAACTTGTAATCTGTAACCTATTACATTTTCAAAGTAACCTTCCCAACACTGTTTACTTGGTACCCCTATGATAGGCTTGGAACACATTTATCAAATCAGATGCCTTAGTAAAGATATAAAACTTACATCTGATCGTGCGCACCCATGTGATGAGTTTGAGCTTTTGCCTTTGGGTCGAAGATTCAGGATGCCAATGTTTCTTAAAAACAGGAAAAAAATCCACAAGCAGTGAAATGCCTAAATGAAAGATAGCA